TGTTGACCCCTGCCTTTCTCTGTTTTTTTGCGGGTCTTTTTTTTTTTTTTTTTTTTTTTTAGAACACTGGATATCCAGAGGTCTAATTTTCTCCCCGTCCTGCAATCTTGCAGCCCAGGGAATATTTTTTGTTCCCGCACGTGCCTGTTGCTCTGCCTCAGTGGGGTTTGAGGTGGGGCAAGAGGCACGTGTGCGCTCATCGGGATGCACCCTACCAGACCAAAAGGTGGGGGTGAAAGATGCAATTAATCCTAACACTTTGGCAGCTGCTTATTTAGATAAACCTCTCAATTTCAATGATTTCAGTAGAAATTTTGCCAAAGTAAGCTGGTCTAGATTTGGCTTCACATTGTAGCTTCATTATAGTCTGGTGATTTCAGTGGGAACCATGGAAATGAAATGCTGGCAACCCTTGCAAATGTGTGCCCAAAGTCTGTCTCCATTGAAGTGGATGGGTGTCATGCCATTGATCTATTAAGCTAGGTATTAATCTAGTGGGAGCAGGACTGTGCTTTAGAGAATGAGGAGTCTTTTTAGGGCTTTCTTGTAAGTAGTCATTTTGGAAAGAAAAAACAATGCTCAGTCCTTGGAACACACGGCTCTTTGTCGTAACAAAGGTTTAATATTGTCCAATGAAACAAACTGTACATTAACTATAAATATTAGTCCATTCATTCTATCATTTGCAAGCACATGTACAAAGGCATATTTTTATAGGCATCTTCCCCCTCCAAGAAGTTCCTTTCCTTCTTTGTCTCTTCCATCTTGTAGATTCTCATAACAGTGAGAGTGAGCACCAAAGCAGACTGCTTTATGTATGCTACATATATTGATGGCTGCTAACTTCTGGCTCACAGGTACTGGATTTTTTTGGCTTCTTATTTTTTTCACTGACTCCTTGTTTCCATTACCTTGCATACAATGATGGATATTGAATGCATATCTGAACATATCAGCCAGACACCTTCTATCCTGTGAACTGCATATTTTTAACAATCCATTTTGGCCTTTTGACCCATGTCTTATTCATAATTAGAAGACAACTATATAATGACAAAAATACTTTTGAACAAAGTCTTTCCCCATATTTTTTAATCATACAAATGATAAATCTGATTTCCCTCTTGCACTAGCTTCACACTGGTGCAGCTGGTGTAACATACTGAATTACATCAGTGTAAATGAGAAGGGAATCAGGTCAACCCTAGTTTAACCACTGTAATAAACATATAGGTAAGACATTACTCTCCAAGAAATAGAATCTTCTAAAAGCTTGACTTCATTGTGTTTTCAATATTATTTACTTCCCGTTCTGTCATCTTGACTTTGATGCTTGTGCACTGAGACAGACGTTTCTGGAAGTTCCCACTAAGCAGTATATAAAGGAAAGGGTTAATACTGCTGCTGGCATAGCTGAGGCAGATTGCAGAGTAATAGCTCACATAGAATGCCAGTGTTGGCTGAGAGATGCGCAGATTCACAAGCTGCATCACATGGTATGGGGCAGCACTTACAACAAACACTCCGACCAGCACAAGCACCATCTTGGTCAGTCTCATGACCCTTTGTCTTGGGATACCGGTGTTGTAACTGCAACACAAACATGAACTGTGCTAACTGTAAAATATCAGGTATTAAAAATAATGGAAAGGGAAATACAGATCAGTGAAAAGCAAGTACCATAGGTTAAATAAATTTGGGATGTAAGCAGGCACAAAAACCAGTACAAGTTTCCCTTGATTTATGCAGGTTCTATTTATGCAAATTTACTCGTATGCGATGACCCTCTATATACCCAAAATTTGTTATATGCGAGGTAAATTCTCTCTTATGTGATCAGCATAAGCATGCTGCCCCTCCCCCAAGCAGGTAAGTCTGTGAGTTTGTGAGGGGAGGGGGCAAGGCCATGAGCGGAGGTTATTGGTGAGGGGAAGGGAAAGGAGTGAGGAGAGTGGAAAGGGCCATTGGGCCGGGGACCCATGGACTTACACCAGCCCATGATCCAGTGGACCCAGGAGTGGACAAAGCCAGCTACCTGCAGCCACTGGGGTTCTGCTTCCCCAGGGCACTGTGCCCCAAACCCCCTGGTGCAGCACAGTCCAGCGGCTGCAAGCAGGCGGCATCCACTGTTCCCGGAGCTGCAGAAGAGGTGGGTGGCAGCTTGGAGCAGGATGAGAGCAGGATGGGGCCAGTGGCCACTGCAGACTGGGGCTGGCAGTGGCACTGGGTTCTGCCCGGTGTTCAGGGTGGGCCACGGCGATGGGAGTGGGGCTGCTGCCACCCCAAAATTCGCTGTAGTCCCCTCCCCCCCAGCACCACTGCTGAGCACTGGAAAGAGCCCCAGCCTGCAGCAGCTGCTGGCCTCAGCCTGTTTTTGTCCTGCTGCAGGCTGCCACCCACCCCTGCTGCAGCCCCAGGAGTGGACACCGCTGGCTTGCAGCCTCTGGGCTGCGGTGTGCCATGGGGTTTTGGGGCATGATGCCCAGGGGAAGCGGAGCCCCAGGGGGTTCGGGACATGGTGCAACCCAGTGGGTGCAGGCAGCTGGCATCAGCCACTCTTTGCGCCACTGCAGCAGGGGCTGTGGTGAGTGAGGAGAAGTGGAGCAGTGGGGTGAGTGGGGAGAAGGGTGAGTGGGGCTGCCACCTGCCCTGACTGCCAGGAAGAGCGCAGTGCTGCCCCTGCTGCAGTCCTTGGAGTGGCAGATGCTGCCTGCTTGCAGCTGCTGAGCTGCCCTGCCCACCTCACCCCACCCCTTCCCTAGCCCCAGCCTCACTCCCTCCCTCCCTCCCTCACCACCATGGGAATGCATCCCTTTCTGTTCCACTGTAAGCTGGGTTCGCTTTATGTGAATTCAATTTATGCGCTGTTCTCTGGGAACACATCTACCGCATAAATTGAGGGAAACCTGTAACTTAATTTTTATTTCAGTGGGCATTAATTGTCAGGGTTACATTTGATCCTAAAGATTCATTGATCCTAATGGTTCAGAGAAATTGTGGAGTTTTCTATACACTAATGTGATGACAATTTGTTTGGGTCAGACTATAGTAGGCAGCTGCTGATCCTCTGTATCATGGTATGTGTGTAAGAGGTCTAATCAGGTACCTGATAAATCTGTCTGTACAGAGTCCTGTGATCATCACACCAGACCGTTGACACATATGCCTAGGCAAGAGTATGGAGGAGTGGAGGCTGCCCAAGACCTACCATTCCCCTTTTAGATTGATACAGAATCCAAAGGCCAGACTGAGTCTGGATATTCAGTGCCTCAATGGTTGTAGCTTCTGCCAGAGACAAACAGATAAGAACTGCTAGTTCTCGAGCTTGCAACATTGTGGCATTTTATAGGAGTTACCCCGCCACAAGTAGCCTCACCACAGTGCCACCAGGCCATCCAGTCGGATGGATTTTACAGTCCGAATACGGTGAACCAAATAATAGAACAATTCTTATGTTGCAAATTACTTAGAAAGACCACAACAGGTCAGGATGTTTTTAATGCTATGGATTTCCCATTTTAAATCCCTGGGTTTATTTTGTGAATACTGTTTGCACACTTAAGAGTGCTAACATTGCATGGCAATCTGAGGCACCCTTGAAAGGATCCCCCTAGGCCCCCCCAAGGCTCCCTAGGGTGCTGTGGCTCAGTGGAGTTTGGCTTGACAGTGCCTCTGCCCTTGTGTGAATCTAAGCTTTGACCCATTGACCCAGTCTTTCCATCACTGATCACAAAGCTGAATTATGAAATACTTTGAATGATACTTTACCATCCTGCTTTCTTGTTTTGCTGATACATTTCCCATGTGTAACACAAAATTAGAATGTAGCAAATAAATATCAGTGGTAAAGGAAAAAAGAAAGTTGTTATGGTCAGATAAAGTGTGTACCTATAAAACAGACAGAAGAGACAATGTGGTTACACATATATCTTATAAGTTATGATTATCTTATGAATATGAATAAATATGTTTATTGCTATTAGGATTTATGCACCCAGAGCTACAAATGAAATCAATGGGAGCTGACAGTGTCCAGCATTTTTCAAAATAAACTCAAAAGTTGCTTAAGCTAGGCTCTCAAAAGTAGGCATGCAACTTTAGAGGCTTCTGAATAGTTTGATCAGAACATATTTATAAAATAAAACACAAAATATATATTTACAGGTCATATACTTTGGGCATAATTCTGAATGAACCCAGAACAGATAGTTATAAACTGAGTAAAATAAAGTATTCAGTATTGATTTAACAGTCTGGTGACTCGCAATGATAAAATTCCCACCAAGTTCTATTATTACTACTGCTTCTGCCGTTATTACTACCACCAAAGCTATCACATTGGACTGAGAGGCAGGTCTGAAAATCCTGATCTTTAATAATATATTTCACAGACAATTCATAAGAACAATAGGAATGTAGGGCTGGAAGGGACCTCAAGAGATAATCAGGTTCAATCCCACTTTGAGGCATGATTAAGCAGACACAGGCCATTATTGATAGATATTTGTGTAACATTCTTAAAAACCTCCAATGAAAGGAATTCCACAGCCCTCTTAGGCAGCCTATTTCCCTTGCATTTCAATCCTTATAGTTAAGAGGTCTTTCCGGGTACTGAACCAAAATCTCTGTCTGCAAAGTAAGCCAATTACTTCTTGCTCTGCATCAAGGACCACTAATTGCTACCCTCTTAAAGCCTGTTAAATGTTTGTAGACTGTTATCATGCTTCCCTTCCAAGTCTTTTCTTTTCTAGTGAAAATAAAATCAAGCCCCTTCAGAGGTCTTATATTTTAAACATTTGATAATACTTGTTTTTTTTCTTTTGGATTCTTCAATTTGCTTACAACTTCTTTAGAGTTTGAGACCCAAACTATGGCCCACAGGCTGGATCTGGCCCTTGGAGCCAATTTATCTAGTAGGGGTGGGGGGGTGATGGCATTTCTTCAGCGGGGGGACTTGGCACATGAAGCAACTGAGCCATGGGTAGAAGCAGTGGCATTAACACTGTGGGGAGGGAAATGGTGATTGTGGCTGTGGCTGCAGACTAGAGGCAGCACCATGGGCTGGGTTAGAAGAGGCCTGTGCTCAGAGATAAGCTCTGTTATAGTGGCCCCCTGCTGCAAAAAGCTGCTGACCCCTTCTGTATGAGGAGTAAGCAGTCCTAAATAGAATGAAATAATTACCTTCTTCCTAATATGCTCCATATTTTCTGGAAATGGCAGTATGCTGCTGATTCATGTTCATTTTGTTGTCCACTGTAACTACCAGATTGGGTTTTTTTTTCTGACATTCCCTTGCCTAGCTACTTATTTGTTATTATCAAGGTATAATTGCATTTTTTTCTTCTTCAGTTTTGTTTTATTGATTTCAGACCGTTTATCCAACTTAACAAGATTATTTTGAATTTTAATTCTACCCTTTAAAATGCTGGTAACCACTCCCACCTTGGATTCATCAGCAACTTTGATAAGTATACTTTCTATTCCATCATTCAGTAATAAGGAAAATGATTCCTGAACAGAACCCTGCTCACCCTTGCTTGATATGATCTCTCAGAATGACCAAGTTTTGTTATGTGGGACTGTCAATCGTACTCAAGTCAAGATAGATCACATCTCCTGATTCATCCTTATCCAATAGACCAGCTAACCAGTCAAAGAAAGACATTAGATTGTTTCGACATGATTTGTTCTTGGAAAATTTAGGATGGCTATATCACATTATTATCTTCTAAGGACAAGTCTATACTGTGGTTGTGATGTATCCCAGAGAGGACAGCCCAACCATACCCAATCTATCAGCTACTACACACCCACTCCAAACTAAAAAAATACATTGGTGAAGATGCTCTGGGGTCTTCTTCTGCAGCTGCTGTCAAGCCATCAATATCTGCCGTATCTGAGTGCTGTTACTGGGATGATTCTGGAAAGTCCTCAGTGGTGTATTTCTGAGTTTGGAATATAATGGGCAGGAGCTTTAAATGAGGTGTGCTTGAGGCTACCCCGACTGGGATATGCCACTACTGTGGTGTAAACATACCCACAGTGCTTACAAATGTGATTGTTCAATCTACTTAAATATCTGTCCGGCTGTTGAAGTTAGGTTGGTAGGTCTGTAATTCAGTAGTGCGAATTACAGACCTTCCCCCCCCCCCCCCCCCCCAACAAACCGCAC